TGGTTATTACACTATTAAAGGTTTAAATCTTCTTCTTTTGTCATAGTAAAATCAGGGATCAGTAATTTCTCACTCTTACTGCAATCACGCAGTAGCAATTTGGTTATATCCTGCTAAGGTCCTTACAGTTTTGCAGAACTATTGCATAAACACAGCAGAACAGTGCAGGCTCTTGTTCTGCAAACAACTGAAGTACTCTGTTATCTTCAGTAGCTCAAACACTCCATTCATGAAGAGACGTTACACAACTATGTTCAAAAACTTTTCACAAAATACCAGTCGAACTACCTCTGGCTGTTGTTGCTGGACAGTAAAAGGAGACTGTAATTCCTGTTACAGCAACTGTACTCCTTTACTGTAACTGTAAAGGAGAAGCATAACTGCCAACCACTTAGAATGATAAAAAAAGACATTAAAACCAGTACCTTTCATCTTAAGCCTTGTTACTAAAAGTGAGCTCTTCCCCTGCTGAAAGAGTAGCTATCGTGCAAGTCAAGTAGCCTCCTGGTATTCCACAGAACTGGTTTCATAAATAATTCAGGATTATCAGCTGCCACCTCCCTAAGAGAAGATGCTCCTCCCTGTTTTGACTTCTCACAAGTTCCTGCCAGGAAAACTCTTACACTTCTTGCTGCTTTTGGCTGAAGACATACAAACCTTCCTTTAACTTCTTAAACATTACTAAGCAACAAATGTAGAGAAAGGGAAAGCAAGCAGGGCAAGTACATCTTAGATGCTTTTCATTGCTGCGTGTGTGACACCTGGAGAAGGCAAGAATTCAGGGTGCAAATGAGGTTGATAGTATATTCCCTGAACCGAGTATTTCTACTTAAACCAGGACATTTGCTTAAACTTCACACACAGTCTCCAGGACTTTTTTTCCTTAGTGCCGAGCTGTTGAGACAACCCACTGCTACCCCAGCCTTCCAAAGCACCCCAAGGATGAAGATTCCTCCATTTTTCTCCTATAAATATACAAAGTCATTCCATGAGGAAGCAGTAAAGACAAATATCTTATTTCTTGATCTCATGTGCTGGCATGCAGGAAACTATTTCACTTCTCTTCAGACCGACTGGAATTAGTACTGGGAAAACAGGTAAGGGAAAGTAAATCTAGTTTTGAACAATTTGGTGCAACTCCTGTAATATATACAGTGTAAAGCTCTATGGGTATCAAATTGGTATAGGCTTACATAAAGCAATTCTATGTTCTAATCCAGCAAATCAAACAGTACAAGGAAGTGAGAAACATGTTTACTGGAGAAACTAGAACCGTGGTAGCCAAGACTTTGTGTTGTTCATGTGGTCTTGTTGCACAGGTGCCATCTTCTCTCCCCTGCTTTTATCTATCTTTTTATTTGGTGCTTTAACCTCTTTTCAGTTAAGTAAGCAACAGGAAGCTTCTCCACTTTAATCTCTGAAGTTATGCCTCTAAGAATTAAAAGAATACTGCCTTAAGCTGAGCACAAAAATGCCTTGTGATCATGCAACTTGCAATAAACGACGATTTCTTCTTTTAAAACAAAGAAAGGATAAGGTATCCAAGCATTTCTGAGTTCTGCGCATCTCACAAAGATGTATTTACTCTATTTTTTGTAATAAATTCATCAGGTCTCAGACCTAGGCCAGCATATGAAATGGATTAAACCATGGGCACCATAAGTATCAAATCTTCTAAATGTCACATGTAATGCAACAGGTATTTTAACATGAGAACTTGGAAAGCATCACCAAAAAATCCTGCACCAGCAATAAATGTCCCAAAGTCCTGATTTTGGACAGACAAAAACTGCTACAGAAGCCTGTGAAGAAACAGACAGGTACTTGAATTATTAATTTCTGAATTACACTGACAGTAAGTGATTAAGATAACTTTACATGACTTTATTTAACAAAACCATATATTTACAGTTGAAAAAAGTTCCAGTTTGATACACGTATCTAAACAAAACAAACTTGATAACTACGTAAAACCAATTTAAACATGATGTACAGGGGACGTAGCAACAGTTCTCTGTCATCCTAGTTTTTAAAACATTCAAAAATAAGCTGTTACAAGGTACTTTTTTTTTCCCAAATTAAATTCTTTACTAAATGAAATAACGTTAATGATTGATTGCTGACTGAAGTTGCAAAACAGCTTTATTATAAAGTGCAGGCTGTACAGAATTCCAAACCTGTTTCATGTTTTTTCTGGTTTCTCTAATCTGCTGCATGTATGGGGGTAGCTGCAGACTTCCAATGTATTGCAGCATTTTTATTTTTCCTTAAACCCATGAAGAAAAGGAAGTTTGCATGATAGGGATACTTGCTCAATGAAAGTCTCATGCATCATGTTACAGATACTCTCAAGCACCTGAACAATAAAATTGTCAAAAGTTTTTAATGCAATCCCTGAATTTATTACAGAAATTTTCCTTAACAGCTAATCAAGAGATTTGGTATGCTGCAAGAAACTTAAAAAGCTCAGTGGTAAGTAATTCTATGCCCTTACAACTCATCTCTGGTTTTATCAAAATTCAAGCGCTACTTTCAGATCAAGTTACTGAGAAGTTGAAACAGTTGCATCTTTAGGCAGGTGATTTTTTTTTTTAATATATTTTGTTTGAAAACAAACTGTGCAAAGCTCCTTATTGCATTGCTCTTCTTTGTTAAAGAACATACCTTATATACACAAAGAAATCATTTAGAAAATATATACATCTTCTAAAAACAGAAAAGATCAAATCACAGAACAAAATAATTACATTTGCAAGTAACAAACAGTGCACATGTGTTGCAGAAGGCCTTTTTCCCCCCAACTATGCCCATTTTCACTGTTACATTCAACATCTTACTAAGAAGAGAAAAAGGAGAACAGGCTGTCAATGGCTGCAAAGATATCCAGTGGCTAAACAATGCATTTTAACCAGACAAATGAGCCACACCTGTAGACTTGGTTTTAAAAGGAAATACAAATCTAGTTGCAATGAAGACAAATTACAAAGCCAGTTACAGTACCACCTTAAAATGTATGCTGAGGAAAAAATTGTCTCTGCATTTAATAAACTGTTGAAAAGCATAGTGCAAATGTTTCAGATGGTAGGCCTCTCATATCCTTCATGGAAAGGCATATTTGTTGTAGTAATAGAAAAAGTAATATTAAAAAACACTTCCTGACCTTCCAGCTTTCTATTGCACTTCAAAGCAATGTAGCATGCAAGTACCGGTCATTGAAGGACCAAAGCAATACAAATTCTGGGAGAATTAACGTGTTTTGTGATGTTTATTTTCAGTAAGTGATGACCTATAAGAAGTCTTATGGAGGAATTAAGATGGCTGACAAAAACCCACATCCATTACACCAGGTACATAAAGTGGACAGGCAAAGAGGCCAATGAGGTATCAGACTTGCAAAGCTGCATTTGCATTATACATCTTCCAAAGTGATTCCGAGTCCTCACTTACCAGGGAATCTTGCTCTCAGTCTTTTTAATATTACAATCAAACCATCCTGTGCAGAAACAATGTTTGTACTAAAGGATTTTGTATTTTGATTATGTCCCACAGTCCTTTACATTATAGGTTGAGTTGAGCAGTGTGCAACCATTATTCTCACTTTTTTTTTTTTAATCAGACAATGCCAAAATAATCAGCATAAAACAGACTGAAGAGCACTGGGAAACCGCTGACCATATAAGCTAGGGGATTTAGTAATGCCTGTTTACAGTTAACACGAATATTGCTTCAGTTAGTTTCCCTTTTCAATGATCATCATTATTTATAAAATAGATTTTACACTATACAATAAATGTTCTGTAAATCAGAGGCACTCATGATTTACAGGGCAACATTCGTTTGAATGCAGAGAGGATCTAAGCTGTAGAACAGAATTATGCAAGCACAGTTTGCAGTCTCTGTAACTTGCTCCCATGTACTAGAGGCTGGATAAAACGCAAAGAAATGACAGCTTGTACTTATCCTGGTAGTATTTGTCTGGCACATTCCCCAACTTCTTTCACTTGTCACTACATACCGATCAGCTCCACATAACGCTTTCCCACTGTGGCAGCAGCAGCTTCAGGAGATCCCACAGAATCTTTTCTTTCCAGCAGCAACAATGGCTTATGTAACTTCTCCCCTAAACCCTTCCTCCTCACTTTTGCCAGTGAGCAGAGGTGGGTTTAAAGTAACTACAAAATTGCTTTTAACCATTTCTCAATTTATCTGCTCAGCCCACCATTTTATCAGCACAACTGGAGAGGTGGCACAAGACTAAGTAGCTGGTAGGCAAGAACACCCCAAAAGAGCACTGCCCCAGAAGAGGGAGACATGGACCCACATTTAGTAGTATGTGACCCTGTGTTTAAACAGAGGAAAGAGTACAATTGGGAAATGATGCCAGATCAATACTAGAAACCCCTCCTTGAGTTTAAAATCTAGTCTGATTAACAGAACTTCTTGCACATGCATCCAGATTGGAAACATAGACTTCCAAGGCATCTTGAAGAATAACTGGTTTTGCACTGCTAGCATGACTTCTCTTCCAAGTTTACTTTCTACTTAACTTTTTCTTACTTAAGAATGGAATGTAGTTCTACGTCTATGTGAATTCTTTGGTAAATGGGACCCACAGCCTATAAAACAGTAAGCATTTATAAAGAAATGGTCCTTACATCATTTAACTATAAATTCCAGCACCAGCTATTTAAAATCCAGATCCAGCAACTGTTATGAGTACGGGAAATATATCCTGCCTAAGAACAAATCTGGGGAATAGCTTTCAAAGCAACTGGCATTGCTGAATGACCAGTCTTTTAAAACAAAGGAAACAAAAATTTTAAAAAACCCTTAGTATTGTTTAATTTCACTGCCCTCATCAGAAGTACAGAATGTGTAACGCTGTCCACAGCAAATGCTCATTCCACTAGAAGTTTAAGGCTAAGCCTAGGTTTCACTTACAAGGGTTTTATCCCCCAATTTCTTTCTCCACCCCACCCCCCCGGCCTTCTCTTTTTTCTTCTCTCCCCTTTAAGGCTATCCTACTACTAAAAAAAACTCTGTTAACACTTTGATTTGCAGGCTCATACATGTCAAACAGTACTGGATACTTTTTGCCACTTTAGCTCTTTTCCCATGAGTCACCAGAGGCAACCATAATTTTAACGTTTGAGTGAAGGACTTCCTTTTTCCATTTCGCGGTTATCTTTCTGCAGAGCAGCCAGTATCTAGATGTTTCAAGGAATGAGAGAAAAAAAAGTATTAGATTTAAGAAGTGACTCAATAAATCGCTAATTTTATTGTCTCTGAACAATACTATTTTAACTACTAAATGTAATCAAATTGAGAGAACCTCTCTACTGATGGAGACCTCTCCCGTAAGTTCTTGTAGCATGGTAGATGCAAATGTATTTAACAAAGGTTTAAACTCAGTCTGCCCCCAACCACATACTTTTGAAGCCCAGAGGCGAGATTCTTATCCAGATTACACAAGTCTAGCACTAGTAAAGGACACCATCTGAAGGAAAGTTATCATTCTCAAGATAAATGGACTGTCTAAAAACACAGCAAATGAGCACCCTAAGCAGCATGACATTATCTAAGAGTTCAGACCAGAATGACCTTGGCACTAACTGATGCTTGTCTGGAGCACATCACTGTCTCCAGATCCGCTTGCATCTTTTTCTAAAGCAACAAGCCCACATACACATCCACATTGAAAGTTTGTATTTCCTATTATCTGATGCACAATTTTGTTTTGCTAGCCCTTGTGTAGAGTGCACAATGGTACCCAGTTTCTCATGCTGCTTAATGTGTTCCCTGCCCTATAGTTACTCTCTGCTGAAGAAGTTCAGCAGCATCCCCAAGAATCACCTTGGAATTTAATGCACTAAAGGACATTTCATCCCAAAGAATTGCAGTGACAAGTAACCAGCCTTCTTTTCTCTCTCTGACCGACTTCAAACCAACCTTTGCACCATCGGAATTAACAGGAGGTGGGACTAAATCACTGACAGGGGAATCACGCAATACTGCCTACGCTTCAATGCAAAACCATCCATAGCTGTTGCAACACCACCAGTGTTCAACACTGGTCTGAACAGAGCCAAAACATTAGTGATGTTTTTTCTAAGGCAAGCTGCATCAGATCCTCTAGGTACAGTGTGACACTGGATCTGCATGGTGATTCCTGAGCATCCATCGCTCAACGACACCAAAATACTGATCCAGAAAAGCATAGACATTAAGCCAACTAACAGCTCAGATTCTTTGGTTATCTGGAAAATATCATGGAGCAAAGATTTGAAACATACAGATTAAAGAAATGCTAAGCCAACAGTCTAGTCTGTTCTACCATCTCTATTTCTCTGCTGTTGATGTCAAACCAGTGGGTGTATCAACAGCCACTCACACTTCAGGCTCAGACTGTATTGGCACAAGGCACTGGAGTTCTTTGTAGGTAGTTCCAGAAGAAAAACAGAGCTTGCGGGCTTCCTACTGATAACCAGAGTCCTTGTTATCAGAAGTGCCATGTCTCTGATTTGCCAGGACTCCTTTCAGTCTTCAGTCTCCTGATCACAGTCAGTCACCAAAGGAAAATGGAGTGAGATGGAAAACATACACTAACTCATCTGATGAGGGAACTGGAACTGTGGGATCTGAATTCATAAGCAGCCCATAACATTTTAGATGAGGTCCTATATACATCATCACACGAGGATGTGACACACAGGATACCAAGACCGTAATTACCATGGTACAGCAAGATGAAAGGTTCAGGAAGCAGGCATTTTTTCTGAGTGCAAATACACCTACTGCTGAGATATCCATCTGAGTTTGACCAAATATACTCCTACAAAGTAGTAGTACCTCAAGCTCTGCTGCTTGCTTATGCAGTAGCTACTGTGACCAAATGAGATGATGCTAGAGATGGGAACACAAAGCCCACTTTTCTAAACTCACGAGCACTCTGCAATCCTCTGGCAACTAGTGCCCCATGTCAGTCAGTCCACCTGGAGTTCATCTTAAAACATAGTGCATCCATCACAACAGACGTTCATTTTGCTAATTTGAAAAGGTATTCCCCTACAGAAAACACATGGATACTACAGCAAAGCATCTCACTCCTACAATAACAGTTAGAAATAATCATCCAGGTTGGGAGCATCCCAACTGCAGCCCACCTTCTCAAGCATATTGTGTGGGTGCATGCTGCCACAGACCCCGCTTTGCTACGAGTCCACCCACACAACCAAGCCACACACTACCAAAAGCCTGTCTGTCCTAAAACTGCGAAGTTCAGGCTTCTGATTCCAAGCTCATCCTGGTGAACTTTAAAAACCTGAAGAGAGATAAGAGGTCATCACAGGTAGCATCGTAGTAATAGAAAATGTAATCCCATACACTCTTTACCTCGTTAATGTTTCTAGATTGGTTCCAACAGCGGTACCTCAGCAACTGAGGAGTCCCAGTAAGTACCTGGTGTGGGCAAACTCATAGCCCCTGCCCACTTCTGGCTTGGAAAAGGATGGCAGGCTAGAGAGTGAAGAGGCCTTCCTAATGGAAACTTACTCAGCAATGGAACCACCTCGTGAAGAAAGCCAGTTGGTGCAGAAGTCAAGACAGGTAAGACATCAGCCCATACCAACCTTACAGCATGCTGTGTTTTGAGATCTAGCTGCATCACAGCTCGGGAGCATTTTTTCTTCAGTTTGCCACAACAACCATAAACAATCAGAAATTCCAGCACAGTCAGGATGAATCTGATGAAGAGACTGAGGAAGACTTCTTGGGCTAGGTTACTTTGAGGTCTTCCTCCTGATACGATAATTGCAAGTGGCAAAGACTGAAAACCACTGGCTAAACAAGCCTATTACTTGGATTACTTGGCAGAATAAGATCACTAATAGGACCAGCATGGCTTCACCAAGAGAAAGTCCTGCCTGACCAACTTACTGGCCTTCTGTGATGGAGTGACCGCATCAGCGGACAAGGGAAGAGCTACTTATGTCATCTATCTGGACTTCTGTAAGGCCTTTGTCACAGTCCCCCATGACATCCTTCTCTCTGAAGTGAAGAGACCTGGATTTAATGGGTGGATTGTTTGGTGGATGAGGAATTGGTTCGATGGTCGCATCCAAAGGGCAGTGGTCAATAGCTCAATGTCCAGACAGAGATTGGTGATGAGTGGTGTCCCTCAGGGAGACCAGTACTCTTTAAAATTTTCATCAATTACACAGTGGGATTGAGTGCACCCTCAGCAAGTTTGCAGATGTTGTGGTTGATATGCCTGAGGAACAGGATGCCATCCAGAGGGACCTGGACAAGCTCGAGGCATGGGTCCATGTGAACTTCATGAGGTTCCACAAGGCCAAGTCTGAGGTCCTGCACATGGGTTGG